AACAACAGAAAGGAATAAGCATTCGGAGAGCAATGAAATAACAGAAATGATCACCTATCTTTCAACAATAACACTTAATGTAAATGGTCTCAACCCTCCAATTAAAAGACACAGACTCACAAAATAGATTTAAAAAAGACCCACCCATGTTTTCTTCAAGAAACATACCTCATTTGCAAAGACATACATAAACTGAAATGATATTCCAAGCAGTTGGAATTCAAAAATAAGCATGAGGAGCTACACTTTATCCAATAAGAGAGACTTTTTAAACTAAAATGGATCAGAAGAGATAAAGGAGGCTACTATATATTGGCAAAGGTACTTCACCAAGAAGATATAATAATTAATAAGTATTCTCCCATTTTGACCATAATGTGTCATGCAGAAGTTTGTTCTGGCCATGTCTATGTCCTTGCTTTACCTGGTATTCACCTCGTTCCTCATTGTGGAAACTTTTCTGCTATAATTTTGGTGAGTAGATTTTTTTTGAGGTCATTAGCCTGCAATTCATTACCTTCTTCTAAGCCAATGAACCATAACTATTTCTCTTTTAGCTTTTTACAGAAACTCCATAAGTCTGTTCAGGGCTTCTTATACTATTTTCTCAGATCTGAATATTCTAACACTTCTACACTGTCTTTGAGTCCTAAGATCCCTTTTTTCTGATTGATGTAATATATTGCTTTGACTCCCAATTAAATTTTTTGTTTTACTTATTGAAGTTTTCATTTCCAGGACTTCTGCTTAGTTCTTTTTCCAGAACTTTTGTTACATTACTGACACGGTCCTTCATAGCCTGCAATGCTTTTTTTTTCATGCATTCATCTGTTTATTTGTCTCCTCTTTGATCTCATTGATCATTTTAATTATTCTTTTACTTTTGCCTGGAATTTAATCTATGATTATCCATGGGGTTATCTCTAGAAGAACTGTGTATTTTTCGAACCATCTAGTTGCTTCATTTGCTTATTTGTGTCTCTATGTTGAGGTTTACAGCTGAATTGGGAAAATATCTCTTCTTTTACCTAGCAGGGTTCTTTTTGATAAGTTCCTGTGCCTTTGTGATATGCCCTGAACTATGGACGTGTTTCCCTGTGAAAGTTTGCACTGTCTTTTCTGAATGCTATGGCAGCTCTTAGCATTAGGTAAGTGTTTTGGCATGACCATTGAGTGCTCTTTTTCTCTGGCTTGTGATGATGAAATCCTCATCCTTGCATACTTATACAATGAAAACTGACCTGGAAATATGAGATAATCTGTGTTTTTAAAGAAAGTTGGCATGGCAGATCCATCCCAAAGGTGAATCTAGAAACAAGTCTCCTCATGTGTATGCAGTAAGCCTGCACATGCAAACCTATGTGTGTGAGCTACGTTAATGTCAGCTTCTTTACTTCCACTCTCCACATCTTACACACACACACGCACACATACACATGTGCACACACACATGCATGCACACACACACACACACACTCACACACAAATCATTTTTTCATCACTTCCACCAGAAATATAGATGTGATCCATTCTGGAAATTCCTTAATGTCTATCAAAACTGTCACTCAAAATGCCACCACATGGAACACATTCACATTTCCATAAACCATACATTATCCAAATAAAGATAATAATAACAGTAGCCACATTCTACTTAATATGAAAAAACTATGCGACAGCCAACCAAAAACTTGCTAAACCTTTCCCCAAGAGAATACAAGATAATTTCTTGTCTTCTACTATGTTCATTTTTCTCCCTTTTCGATATCATATATCTAATTAGGGAGATACATAAAGTTAGCTACGGATGTCACATCTTGTTAGATGACACTGGGGTCAGACAATGGAAGAAAAATGTATTTGTTTAGTAGTCAAAGAAATATCAATATAATGCAAATATGGTTTTCATTCATGAAATCTCATTTGCTATGGTCATGATTGTTACTTTACTATTTATTATATTTTTCCTTTGCCATCAGCAAATATCTAGTGTGAGCCTTTAGCTAACCGTACCAGGTTGGATGACCCAAGCCTTCATTCCAGAAAAGTGGTCTATTACTAGTCCTGCCTAACTGGGTTGGCTCTATAACTTTAACTGCAAACCAAAGTAGTGTTAGATAATGTCATGCATACCACACATACTTGTCTTAATCCAAGTTCATTGCAGACTACTCATCAAAATAAGCACTAGCTAATATGCCCTGCTTCTTATGGTGAATTCCTATCATGAGGTGACAAAAGGGCTTCAGGGCACCAAAGGCAGTTTATTGCAATCACTGTTGAGAGTCCTGAGATAGCATGCCCATTTTGGAACTCAAAACTCTACACTAGATCAACATATCTTAAGGTCACAGAGTGGAGAAGGAGAAACTGTGCTATTGGGCCATGGGGGATAATAATGCATGAAGCCATTCCCATTTCCACACTTTGATTTATGAACCAGGAAACCTAGCTACCAGAAAAACAGAACCATATATCAGATGGTCATCCATAAGGTTATGGTGAACATTTTCCACCATCCAAGATATTGTGCCCAGCTGATTGGCCACTGAATCCTCAAAGGTCATTGTATCTTTTTTTCAAGCCAACTACAAGATGCAGGGAAAAATTCTAAAAGCAGTTAATGGCAGGAGCATGGCCCCACTGCTGCTCTTCATATGCTGTGAAATGAATTCTTTGCTCAAAAGTGCCATCTGGAATAACACAACAGTAGTAGAGTTCCCATAAGGCTAAGGATAACTGGGCAAATATCTATTTCAGAACAAAGAGCTACCTTGCCATGATACAGGAAGCCCATATCATGAATCCCCAGATATCTGGTTGCTTCCCACAGTGCATGACAATTGGGAGCTAAGGGTTGGTTCCTGCCATTAGTACATGGAGAAGAGCCTACAGCCAGGACAGTTTGGTAAGTGTAAGTCCTTACTAATGACCCCATGAATGAGCTCCATCTATGCCATCACAGACACTTTGCTCATGAGCAAAGCCACATGTACTTTAGGGGAGACACTGACTGAAACCCATAGAATGAGGCATCAACTACCTGATCATTAAGATCCTTTTCTTCTGATGTTACCCTTTGATGAGCAGTACACAGGAACTATATATCTTCATGAACTGCACCACTACACAGTGAGTTTGAAAATAAATTTATATTCCACAGTAAAAAAATAAATGATATGAAGATAACAAGGGATACTATGGTAACCATTGCTGATTTCCTATTATCTTGGAGTCCTGTATCGGTTTCATTGTTTTATTTTGATTGGTTTTATTCTGTTTTGTTTTGTTTGATTTTATTACGTCAGGTGGTTTGGGCAGCTATTTTGAAGATAACAAGAGACATGATGGTAGCAACTGATGTTATATTATCTTGTTTTGAGTCCTGTGTCACTCTCACTGTTTTGTTTTGAATAGCTTTATTCTGTTTCAATTTGTTTGGCTTTATTCTCTTTAAAATAAAATTGTAAAAAACAAAATAAAAGAAATATTAATATTAGCCACCTAAAATCAGGGCCATATTTCTAACAACATAAGCTTAGATGATGTTTTATTGGAATCTGAGCTAGTAACCTTAAATGACTAAAAAGTGGCTTGTATCTTACATCAAAATCAGGTCCTTTAGATACAGAAATGTTGAGGTTACATTGCTACTTTTGTAGACTTTTTGCAAAACATTTTGTCAAATATACTAATTTTGCAACTGATAGGCTTTTATTTCAAACTCAAATCAGTTGTAAAAACTATGAACCACTTTTTCCAATGCAGTTGAAATGTAGAAACACAATATTTTACATTCAAATTAAATAGTGGAAATTTCCAGAGAGTCCTTGGTATTACTTAGCCCTATAAATCTAGTTTACCCACCATACATTTAATGTTATCCAAATACAAATAAATACCTCTGAGAAAATTATAGTGTCCAAATTGAGGTGTAGTTTAACATGTAATATGTGTCACATTTGAAAATCATAGCACAGGACAAGGGTACAAAATATATCATAATATGTTTCGTCAGTGTCACATGGAAATTGTATTTTATATGTCAGATTATAAAAATACATTATTAAAGTTGTTGTGTTTATTTTTCTTAATATGTATTTGTAGTCCATAGTGAATTGTTTTACATTTTATTTTTAATGTGGCTACTAGATATCAGAATTGCTGAGAAGACACATTCTTTCTACTTACCAATATCTATTCTCCATTTTGTTTCCTATTTACATAAGAGAATCAATGCAATATTTAAACTTGTGTGCCTCATTTATTTCATTTAAAATGTATTTCTAGAGGTGCAACCATTTATGTAAAAATGATTGATGCTTATCCTTCTTTATAGCAGAATAACACTCCCTATGTATATCCCACATTTTCTTTACCTGTTTATCTGTTGATGGATGTATGAGCTGTTTCCAAGATTTAGCTATTATAAATTGTGCTGCTAGAAACATGGATATCATTGTGATGTGATACCTTTAACTCTTTCAGAAAGATACCTAAAACGAGTATATCTGGGTTAAATGGAACCTCAAGTTTTAGTTTTTTCAGGAATCTCCATAATGATTTCCATTACCAATTTATACTCCCACCAACCATGAAGAAATGTTGCCTTTTCTCCACTGCCTCACTAGTAGTTGCTTCTGGTTGACTTCCCAGGGGTAACCATTCTTTCTAACACAAGATACACATAAGTATGAGAAATGACTAGATTGACTTAGGATGGTCAGCCACAGCATTGGATAAGGAAACAAACAGAGGGTGTCTGCATACTGGAGAGTGAAGGGTTCAGTCCAAGGTCTGGAGTACACTACAGTGCTCTGTGCAAGTCCATATCAGGAGGCCGAGGGGTCTGTGCTAGAAGGTTGAAGAGTCTACACGGGAAGGCTGAAGAGTCCAAGATGGCAGCTGGAGGGTCTGTGCTAAAAGCCTGGAGATGATGTCCCATTTGGAGGCAAAGACTGGAGCTCCTCCAAAGAACAGAAGCCCATCTGTCCTTCTCATTTCCCTTTTAAACCTTTCAGGCAATGAGCTGCCCTAGGGCAACTCCTCTGCATTCTAGAGTGTAGAATTGCTGAGCTAACTTAGTTAAGCTTCTAAAATATCTCAGACTGTCACAATCAATTAACCGCCATACAAACCGTAACAGCACATATCTTCCAAAACCTTTCAATACACTTGCCATTTCATGCACATCCGGTTTAATTACCATGACTCTGCATACACTGGAGGGCCAACCTGTTTGTCTAGATGATCCAAGCTCCCATGAACTATGTTATAACATGGGAAGGAGACCTGAGGACGCTGGAGGCATAAAATACTCTTGCAAACCATCTTCCATTCCACATCAGCGGTTTCTGCTTGTGCTGTCTGGGAGGAATAGAGAAGAATTCAGATTCAGTATGATGGTACACACAGTGCACCTGCAGACATTTTGCAGTGTCCTAGCACCTTCCACTACTGGTGCAGAAACGGCCAATGACATGACTTCATGTCTGGATTATGGTCCTATTTCTACCATCAGGACTCATCCAAATGTTACAGAGGCAGACTCATGAATTACTTGATATAAAATTAACCTGAACCATGAGTTCTTTAGGTATTTAAACGTGGTGAGAGTCTGTACCATTTCCACATTGCAATGTAATTCTTTTATTATGAATCTGTCTAGGATAGAGATAGGGAAATACTCTGAATTTTTCATCTGTATAAAGGCCCACCTAGGTAAATGGCTTAGCACTTCTTAGTTGTATGGTCTGTGCTGGGAACCACCACACTGAGCCCTGGGAGCTGGAACACACTGTGGACAAACTTAGAGGAGTGGATGTGACTGCTGCAAACACAGGCAAAAACTATAATTCACTGCTCTTGATATTTGCTGCTCTGGATTTTCGGGAACATTCTTTAGGTCTTCTTGCAGGAGACTCTAGGCAAGAAATTTGACTAATTCTAGGAATGGTTTAAAATGGCACTGTGGCAGTTACCCTCAAACTCCTTCCAGTAATTCTGGTGACTTAGAATCAACAGGACCCATGGTGGCTTCCTCTTCACTAGATACAAGGATGCTAAATATTCTCTATTGCCCAGGCAGGTCAGACCTGAGCACAGTCAATCAGATTGTTCTTTTGAAATGCACCCATGTTGCTTCTGATGGCTACATGTATTCACATAGGCTGACATTTTAGAATGTTGTTCTCCCTATTACTATTAAAAACCCATTTCTATTAGATTCTTCTGCCCTCTGCACAGAGCCCTTTGGGGAGGAGGTGTCCTTCCACCTGCACAAGCATCAACCAGTTGCTGAAAAGAATGATCTCCAGACCCCTCTGAGGACAGAGAAATAGGTGAGGAATAGTCTGGGGTGAAGATGTACAGAATCAACACATGAGAGCCATCTGCGTGCAGAGGAGGAGCTGGGCGGATCCGGAATGCCTGCAGAAGCCCCTTCCGTTGTCTGAAGGACTGAATATTTCTGCAAGCAGGGAGGGATTGCAGGTTCCTGAGGCACCTCAGCCTGTGGTGAGTGCCCAGCACAGTCTGCCCAAATCTCAGACTGTTCCGGACCCCCCAGGCTTCTGGGTGCAGTGAAGTGGAGCAGTGGGTTAGAGGCCACTACAGCCGCCTCCCCATCCCTCCCGGCTACACTTGGAAGTCTGCTGAGCTCCTGACGGATGGGCGGATCTGGAGTGCCTGCAGAAGTCCCTTCCTTTGTCTGGAGGACTGTGGATATCTCTGCAAGCAGGGAGGGATCACAGGCTCCTGAGGCACTGCGGCCTGTGGTGAGCACCCTAACCCGGCTGCAATTGAAGAGCTGTGGATCTTCCAAGGGGCAGGTGGGCGCACAGTGTCCCTGAGGCCCAGCTTGTCTGGAACTGCAGAGTTCTGAGCAGGCAGAGGAGGGCCACTGGTTCTGTAGGCCCAATGGCTTGGGGTAGCGTGGTGTCAGAGTCTCAGTAGCTCCAAACATAGAAGGGGATTTTCAACAGATCCGGAGGAAGCTTTCAAATAACACTTGAAACACAGAAATATAGAAAATGACAAAACAAAAGACCAAATTACAACCTCAAACCTCCAGCCCATCTCAGGAAACCCTAGGAGCGATGTATATAGAAGAAAATATATCCCATCCACCTCATATATTGGACATAATAGCTACTGAAGTTGACAAGCAACTCCAGGAAGCTTTAAAGAAATTCAAACTCAAAATAATCTCCCAGATAAAAGAAGAAATGATAAAAGAAATGAAAGAGATTCTAAATATATCTAAAGAAAACACAGAAAAAAAATTGGAGGAACTAAACAAAAAGATAGAATCCCTAGACGAGCAATATAAGAAACAAACAGAATACATAATGCAGATGCACAGAGATATACAGGAAATAAAAAACTCCACTGAAAGTTGTAAAAACCACCTTAATGAAAGTGAAGATAGAATTTCAGACCTTGAAGACATGATTGCAGCTAGTGAACAGGAAAGGAAAGATCTTTTGAAAATAACAAGGAATCAGGAAACAATAATTCAACAACTGCAAGACGATGCAAAGAAGAATAACATAAGAATGATAGGGATTAATGAAAGAGAGGGAGACAACATAAAGGATGTCAAGAGGATATTTAGAGAAGTAATAGCTGAAAATTTCCCAAGCATGAGATCAGAAACCGACATCAGGATCAGTGAAGCATATAGAACTCCAAACAGTCATAACCAAAATAAAACTACACCCAGACATATAATAATCACCATCCCAGAAATCCAACATAAGAATAGATTATTAAAAGCTGTCAGAGAGAAAAGACAGATCACTGGGGCTGGAGGTTTAGCTCAGCGGCATAAGAGCCCGCCTTGCAAGCAGGCAGTCGTGAGTTCGATCCCCGGTACCGATAAAAAGGAAAAAGACAAAAAAAAAAAAAAAAAAAAAAAAAAAAGAAAAGACAGATCACTTATAAAGGAAAACCTATCAGAATCACAGCAGACTTCTCAGCACAAACGATAAAGTCAAGAAGAGCATGGAGTGAAATATTCCAGATCCTAAAGCAAAATGATTTCCAACCAAGACTGATATATCCTGCAAAACTATCATTCAAAATAGATGGTGCAATACTATACTTCCATGACAAAGAACAGCTGAAGAACTTCATGAACACCAAACCGACCCTGCAAAAAATATTGAAAGACAGTTTAGATACACAAAGGAAACAACCACTAAGCAAAGCAAATAATTAAACAGAACAGAAAGATAAAGATGCAACAGCAGAGAGATAACATTCCTACAATTAACCAGCATTTAACAGTAATAACCATTAATGTAAATGGTCTCAATGCACCAATCAAAAGAAACAGACTAGCAGAATGGATCAAGAAACAAAATCCAACCATATGCTGTTTACAGGAAACCCATCTAACCCAGAAGGATACTCACAGACTGAAAGTCAAAGGATGGAAAACAATCCTTCATGCAGCAGGAATCCAAAAAAAGGCAGGAGTAGCCATTCTGTTTGCAGACAATGTGAACTTTAAACCAACAATGACCATAAAGGACATACTCGTAAGGGGAAAACTCCAAGAGGAAGAGATAACTATCTTGAATATATACGCACCAAACTCCAGAGCACCCAGTTATATAAAACATTTATTAACAGAAATGAAAACTCAAATTATCAGTAACACAATTGTAACAGGAGACCTTAATACGCCACTGACACCAAGGGACAGATCAACCAGACAGAAAATGAGCAAAGAAATAACAGAACTGAATCACACCTGTGAACAAATGGGTTTGATAGACATATACAGAATGTTCCACCCAACAACATCAGAATACCCATTCTTCTCAGCAGTACATGGATCATTTTCTAAAATAGACCATATATTAGCTCACAGAACATATTTAAACAAGTGCAAAAGAGCTGAAATCATCCCTTGCATGTTATCGGATCATAGCGCTCTGAAATTAGAAATTAATGATAAAAGATACTGTGAAAATCCCACAAACACATGGAAACTGAATAACACACTCTTGAGTAATCAGTGGGTCACAGAAGAAATTAAAGAAGAAATCAAACAATACCTAAAAGAAAATGAAAATACAGATACAACTTACCGGAATCTGTGGGATGCAATGAAAGCCGTCCTGAGAGGAAAATTTATTGCACTGAGTTCCCACATCAGGAAAACAGAACGAATACAAATAAATAACTTGATGCTACACCTCAAACAGCTAGAAAAACAAGAGCAAGTCAAGCCCAAAGCCAAAAGAAGAGAGGAAATTATAAAAATCAGAGCAGAAATCAATGCAATAGAGACTAAGAAAACAATCCAAAGGATCAACAAATCAAAGAGTTGGTTCTTTGGAAGAATAAATAAAATCGATAAGCCCCTAGCCAACCTTATTAAAAAAAGGGAAGAAAAAGCTCAAATTCATGCAATAAGAAATGAAAAAGGAGAAGTCACTACAGACCCAATAGAAATACAGAAGATCATCAACACCTATTTCGAAAACCTCTACTCTCAAAAGTTTGATAACACAGAAGAAATAGACAGATTCTTAGAAGCATATGAAGTGCCAAAGCTAGATCAAGAGGATGTAAAACTGTTGAATAACCCAATCTCTGTTACTGAAATTGAAAATGTAATTAAGTCCTTACCCACCAAGAAGAGCCCAGGCCCAGATGGATTCACTGCAGAATTCTACAAGAAATACAAAGAAGACCTAATGCCGACACTCCTCAAACTATTCAATGAAATTGAAAGGGAAGCAATCCTTCCTAAGTCATTCCTGGAAGCAAATATTACTCTAGTACCAAAACCTGAGAAAGACCCAACTAAAAAAGAGAACTATAGACCGATCTCCCTAATGAACACAGATGCAAAAATCCTCAATAAAATATTGGCAAATAGGATCCAGCAAATCATCAAGAAGATTATACACCATGACCAAGTGGGATTCATCCCAGGAATGCAAGGATGGTTCAACATATGCAAATCAATAAATGTAATCCACCATATCAATAAAGCCAAAAATAAGAATCACATGATCATTTCTATAGATGCAGAAAAAGCCTTTGATAAGGTCCAACATTTATTCATGATAAAAACTTTACAGAAAATTGGAATAGATGGTCTTTACCTCAATATAATAAAGGCCATTTATGACAAACCAACAGCCAGCATCATACTAAATGGCCAAAAATTGAAAGCCTTTACTTTAAAATCAGGCACAAGACAAGGATGTCCTTTATCACCACTCCTATTTAATATAGTACTGGAAGTACTAGCCAGAGCAATTAGGCAAGAAAGAGAAATAAAAGGGGTAAAGATAGGAAAAGAAGAAGTTAAGTTGTCATTGTTTGCAGATGACATGATACTCTAC